AAAAAAAAAACTGTGAAAGCAAGAACATACTGCAAAACTTCTGAATTATTTGAAGCAAATAACAAAACATTAGAATCTTTTAATTATCAAACTGATGATCCTAATAGTTCTTCAGTCACTTTAGATAAGGTCTATCGGCTTTTATGAACTTATCATTTATTTAAACTTAAGATAAATCGCAGTTGATGAGATGGCTACGAAGGTCTTCAAAACGAATCGACTGGGTAGTTGATGCGATGTTTCATGCAATATTGGCAAAGTACCCTCGGCTACGGTACATTGTCGGTTATGATGCCATTTTCAAGTATGATTAGAATATATTTAATTATTGTCTACTTTTGAATTAAAATTTTTAAAGTTTTTTGCATAACATTTTACTTTAGCTTTGCTCTTCCTCAGTAAAAAGTGGCCAAAATTTTACAAAATTTTGCTTTAAATTTCAAGTCAATTTTGCAAAACATTTTATATCTTCACGGCTATGGCTGTCCTTCCTTGTTCGACTGCTTAGAATGTTCATTTTGGTTGCTTTCTTTAGTTGACCACAAATTGTTTTGACAACTGCACATTAATTTCGGTAAGTTATATCAGCCAAAAATAGATATAAAATTTAACAGTTTTATGAGCATAGACAAGAAGCTTTTGCAGCTGTATATGTGTATTTATATAGTCGTTTTTAATATAATTATTAAGGTACATTCCGTCAACGTTTATGCCCACAGCTCTTCAAGATGCTGCAATACAACATTTTGCAAACCTCGAGAGAGGAAAACTACCTTTTCCAAATGCAGTTAAAGATAAATAGTAGGAAGAAAAGTTTATTTACAACCGGTTCTTTAAAAGATGCATCTAAAACATTTGGATTGTTATAAATCTATAACTGTGGTTCTTTTCTATTCTACACCACTAGCAGCTACAACGTAAGACCATCTGTTTCTGCCAAAGTTTGGAATATATCGCAGTCTCGTCACTCAAAGAAAAACAAAAAAATATGCACAGAATTGAATAATTATAGTATTGAATACAAGCTATTTAAACAAATTTCCAGAGAACCATAGCCTGGAAGAGCTTCTGAGGTATTATGCTGAAATAACAATTAGTTTTAGATATATATAAGCTTTTTATAATAGGTTCAAAACTATAAGTTCTTCACTTCTTATTTGAAGATAAAAACGACTCTAAACTAA